ACACAGAGCCAGAGACACAGTAGATTATAAGATGCGGTCTCAAGGCCTGCTAAGCTATCAGAATGCCAGCTAGCGTCCCATACGATTTCATGGCCGGCTTACCCACAGGCCTCCTACAGATAAATGCCTGATGCCTGGAAAGTATGTAGACACGTTGTTCAGACACTATTGGGTCCTCTGCTAGCCTGACGGAAGCTCCTGAATCCAATTACTGGGCCCTAGGAGCAAGTATCACGATCCCAGGAGCGAGAGTACCTTAGCATTCAAAGTAGGTGATGCCAAATCAAATGATACCGGATGTATTGTAGGACGTCAGCAAAGCTGTACCCTCGAAAAACAGTTAAATAGAGACCATGGCCGCAAAGACTTGAAAGTTTCAAACCTACCATTCAATTATCGGAAGTGATAAACCGTTTTGGCAACCAGAAAAGACCAAAATGCCTCCACAGGGAAGACCAGTGGCGCTTCAGAGCCCCTTTCAAATTTCGAACCATCATCGAGGTCAGTCGCCGGGGTCAAAGATAATGACAGCCCTAGCTAACGTCGGCTCAGGCAGACAACATCCAACTCAAAGAGTTGAGGGCATCATTATGAGCATACGTGCTGAAATGTCGAGAATGCAACATGGACACAAACAGGCAATTCTGATGCTGCGAAACCACGAGAACATGCTGCGGGCTCTCGCGAATGAAAAAGCCAGTTTGGAGGAGCAAAATCGGTCTTTGTTTGAACATATCAAGATACTTCAGCAAGAAAATTGCGTCCTAGAGTTGAAGAACAACCAACTGAAGTCTCAACTGGCAAAGATGAGGCAGCAGTACCCGGAGTCGCCCGATGAAGAGCAACCTCAGAGGCCTACCTAGATCACACTGTGAGGTATTCAGTATAACCAGCAATATCGTTACTCGCGAGAAAGAAAGAAGGATTATGATGCCATGACCGGTCACCAGATCAGATATCGGAGGAGACAATGCTCAATTTTGTATGTTGGACACAAATATCATTTTGCTGCGGGATTGCGTGGAAAACCAACCGTGTAATAGTTCGCTAGAGCCCGCCAGAATGTGCCGGAAGAAACCACAACCATCTTATTACCTACGACCACAAATCCAAAGACATTGCTAGAAAAACAATGGAAATAACACAACACTCAGGCGTCTCTATAAGAATAAGTGAACTTTCCCTAGGCCAACAGCCAAAATAATGGCCCCAATCCGGTCAAAGTGGTATCAATGGATTGCTGACACCTCTCTCCCTAACATGTACGCCATTTCAGTGGCCATAACTATAGCAATTTGCTTGATCTATTGGTTTACGCGAGATGCGTGGCGCTGGGGGTGGACAGGACGCCATGTGTTCTGCCGTCGCCGTTTCCGATCGAAACTACTAGTTCCTTGGAGACGGTTTGCCTTCGTCCACCTGCCAAGATACATGCATTGGCTGGACATCTCCAACTACCGGCAAGTGCTAATCCTGGCCGTCATGATAGCGGGGAACATTGTTGGCCTCCGGCTTCGAGCTCATTCTTGGGCGGAAGCACAGAAAAGGGCTGGCTCTATGGCGGTCATCAATATTGTGCCCCTGTGCACCGGTATCAGCTTTGGTTTCTCGGCAGATCTACTCCACGTGGACCGCCAAATGCTTGCATGGTTCCATCGCTGGGTAGGTCGCATTTGTGTGCTCCTCTCTGTGTTACACTGTTCGCTACTCGTTACTGTCACCAGAACGATGAACCTGGCAAACCCACGGCACATTGTTCCAATAGCCGTAAGTCAAAGATATCCCGTGGCTAAGTGTGCGTATTGTGCAGACTAACATCACATCCAATATAGGCCGGTTGTGCTCTCGTTCTCGTGATACCGGTAACTTGTGCGCCGGTCCAACGGCGACATCCGCAGTTTGCGATGAAATGTCACTACCTTCTTGCAGCAACGGCGATTGGCGCGCTGATATACCATCTCGTGGAGCAACAGACACTCTATCGGTGGTACCTGGTAGGCGCTATCTGCCTGTGGGTTTTCATTAGCGTTGTTGTCTGCATAATGGCCGCATGGGACCAGAAGCCCTGGAAATCTTCTCGAAATGAGGTAGTCATGAACTCTGTGAGCCATTTCCTTTGGCTTGACATAGAGCTACCCCTCAACCGAGCGATTCGCCCTGGCCAGTATGTGCAGCTTTGGATGCCACGAGCCGGCTTTCGCGCTTTCTTTCAACTTCCTCGGTTTTATATTGCATTCTGGGAAGATGGACCAACTCAAAGATTAGTCCGTATGGTAGCAGAGTCTCGACCCGGGCTTGCACGAAAGCTGTACCACGAAGCACTGAGATCCCCAGCCAAGCAGTCGGCTATCATACTCGGACCCTACGGACACCCTCTGGATTTCTATCGGTTCGGTACCATCCTCTTCGTGGTAGAGGACATCGGGTTTTTCCGAGCGCTTTCATACATCGAAATGTTAGTGGAGGCCAGCCGCAAGCGCGAAGTGATGGTGCGAAAACTAGAGGTTCTCTGGAAGCGACAAGTTGGCAAAGATGGCATGTTTTTATCCCCGACAAGTACTTTGAAGTCTGAAAGCCACCTTTGCTGACTGAAGTTCTGGCAGAAAATCCTCAATGGGTAAATAAATGGATGCAAGACCTTTTCAATCGCGACTGGAGATCGTTCAAGGTGAGCTTTTTGCTAGTGCAGCTCATCCTGGGCGCTGTGATCTGACCGTGCCTCAGATTTTGCGATTCAGCATCTACTGCCCGCGTACTCAGTCAAGCCCCCAGGAAAACCTTTCCTACGAGCATAACGCAATGCTTTGTTACTTTTTTGGCTCTATCAAGATCGAGGAAGAAGTTGCACGGCATCTCAATAACCGATGCGGAGCTATGGCTGTAGCGGGTGAGTGTCCCCAGTCCAACATCCTACCATCATCGCTCGTTGAAAAGGCGCAACATTGCGGCTACCATGCTAACAGCCCATACAGTATGTGCAGGTCCATCAATAAGTGGGGCTGTGACGAAAGCTGTACAGCCACACGCAGGGAGGAATCTCCAGCTGACCGTTCTCGACCCCGATATGAGCCCTGCACCGGATGGTGATGAAGATTTTTCTGGCAGCGTCAAGTCTGCAGTAGACTGCCAGGCTCCAGCACACCAAGCCTCAGGGGCAGGGGACGATAAGCTTATCCACCAAGTACGGCGATTTCCAACGGACAGCCGAAAGCTACAGTATCCATTGCCCAAAGAAAACGATACGCAAACTGGAAAAGTCGAAATGAGCAACCACTCGAAGTGGGTGGAAAATAGATTGGCACAGGGGCGCTGAAAGCCTACGATCACAGTCACCGAACTATGAACTTCTACCAGCGTCATTCTGCGCCCTAATAGCACAGGTCGGTTTCACCGCCTCAGTCGAATCCGCCGCGCGTCGAATCCGCTGTGCCTGCCTCTAGTGGAGGCCTCTTCGATTGACGCGGTCTCAGCACAATGGTTGAATTTTCAGCTCATTGGTAACTGTATCTTCCGCCGGCAGTTCATGTATCACAGGGAGGGCACCATGGAAAGCTTGGAGCCTGGCCTTGTTCGCCGCACAGCCGGTCCGCCTTCTCGAGCAGATCCCTTCTCGAGGGAACATTAATGGATCTCCTCGGTGCTTGACATGATAGAAAGACGATCGAGGGCCATGGCAAAGCTGGCAGCGAAGTGTGCCGATCTCGGGTAGGCTGGTGTGTGCATTTCGTCCTGTAGATTCAGCACACTCCACAGGAGGCACAGAGCTGCCTACTTTTCGGGAAGATTTTGAGGGATGAAAACATCTCTTGGATCTGTTTAATTGGCACATTATCATTATCTGAAACAAATAGATCATGAGCTCCTCATACCTTGCATCTATCCACAGTTTAGTGCCAATCAACCAATTCATATTCATGTGCGCCCAGAGATCGATTGAAGGCTTTCAGAAGTAAGTAAGCCCCAAATGGCACTGGTTATAAAGTATACGGGAGAATGTAGAGCGAGGTAGACATCATTGGCCCATGGAAGCATTTCCGCTTTACCTCAAGCGATATTATTGATCGCACGCGAATCATATTACATCCTTGGAACACAAAAATGCATGTATAGGTGGTTAAGCGTGAAGCTATATTTTGACCTGGAAGTGAACAATGTCTTTCCACAATATGCAAACGACACCGTTCAGCTCGGCTTTGCTTGTTATCGGCCGGTTGGAAACCCGGTTGGACCGCAACTTTTTGAGGCTCACTAAGTGCCAGAACACGTAGGATAACTGATTATAATCTTCCATCGGCCAACCGAAATTCTGTACTATCGGTCCTCGGCTTCTTTGCCTGCGGAAAGAAGTTGGTATTATTATTTGCTCAAAGTCCCTGTTCACCGATCGACCGACCGACCGGTCATTGCCCTCGTTGACGTCATTACCGCCCCGATAAAAAGCGGGCAGCCCCCTAACCTGGTCGTCCGCAGGTCCTCGTTTGCTAAGCATGCAAACCATGATACTAGCCGCAATGATCACTCTAGCTATAGCTACGGCTGTAGCGGCTGCGCCGAGACCTGGACTTGATGTTCAGCCTGCCATCAACGTAGTAAATAGAATATTCCTCCTCGCGGCTTCGCTGACGAGTTTTAGATGCTTTTTGCTCCATTTCAACTCATTGCCTGGACACAGCTTAACTGCACCGGAGATTTTGGTGCCACCTAATTCACCGACTCGGTTCTGGCACGAAATACCTCCAATGGCTACATTTCTCGCTGTTTTTAACTTAACCGCTCATTGACACAGCAGGAGCAGTTGGATATATCTGTCACGAGTAACTTCTGAATGGAACTACCGCATGTTATATCACGCCTCCGTTTACCTGTCACCGGTTGCGGAACAATCCAGGATTGCCTATGAAATAGATGAAAGAAGAGATAGGAAGGAATACAACACACCATCATTGCATTTCTTTAAGTTATTGCCTACCGATCTCCGTAGCCTCCTAATTTAAACGAAGTCACCAAATCATAGGAACATCGACAGCATAAATTTTCATTCCTGAATCAATCCAAACAGCGCCAAGAATGGCTTCCACCGTCGTTGCACGAGTGCCATTAGTGATCTCGCCCTTTTGTGCCGGTTGGCCGGTTATAAAGTCGTCCAGCTCAAATGCCTCACCTTTGCAGCTCAAATGTTTGTTACAAGCATTCTTTCGCAGTATGTGATCCCCATTTTCTGTGTCTGGTCAGTATTACAAATTAGCGATTTCACAGTTCAACGTGCCGATGGTATCTCCACTATCGTACCATTCGTCCAGAAGTGAAGTGGACAGAACGGAGTCTCCAACGAGCACCAGACGCTTGTTGCCTTGCAGCGGACGCGTGTCAGCTGGATGCAAAGCCTCTTCTAACAATGGAATGGATTTGAAGTGGTAGTCAAGTCGGTCTTTGAGCTCCTCCATTTTCGTTGGATCTGTTGTCAAATATTCATCCGAATGAATGGTTTGAAGTTTGACCCAGAAATCCCACAGACCATAGACCTTATGTATCTCAGTGTGGCAAAATCCATATTACGAGGTATCTAGTTGAGAGCTGGCATATGGGGCATGGAGTATTAATAAAAGGCATTTTCCGTTCACGGATGAATCGAACCTTGCTTAGGTTGGAGCAAAGATTAAGACCACCGAAAATACACGAGAGGCGAATACTGGAAACAGGAAGCCACTATATTGATTGGATCCGAATTGGCAAAGGCGAATGAACAGTTGCCACAGAAGCAAACACCCGGGGGAACAAAGGGCGAAACTAATTTCGATCCGCCCTTCACGGCGAGATAGAACACCAGCGGTGACGAAAGAGTTTCATTTAGAGACAAACGAAAAAGGCAAAAACCTGTTGGAAAGCCCTATAGCATCGCTGACAATCAAAGCTTGGGTCAAAGGCGAAGAATCCCGAGGCAAGCCTTCAGACACCATGCCTATAGTCACACTGAGAACTGGCGAGCTACGGAGTTAGAACGCTCAGAGTTCCCATTTCCCCAGTTTCCCACTATATTCTGCACAAAGACTTGTGGATCAAGAAATGGCATGGACAGACAAGGGTGAATGTGAGATAATGAAATCGAACTCCACATCGTAGAAGTGTCCGTGTCTTCTACCAGCGGACGTATAGCTAACTGAAACCGTGATTGTCCAGCGCTTGTTATATTTCCCACCGTAAGATGCTTCGAGAGGGTGTCACTTATTTGACAACGTATCCTTCGTAAGTTGCTTAGCATCGACTCAACCCGCGGAAGAAAGAACAGATACTCTTCGACGGCCTCTCCAGTTTCCACAGTGAGCTTACTGAGCCGGAGTTCTATCCAGTTCAACGGCCCGAAAAGGAAAAACGCCGACACATAAAGGAAGATGTCATCGGCGCAGGTGTCTTGGGATAACGGATCCGGCCCCGTCCAGCCAAAGGCGCAGACGCTTCCATAGCTGGGATAGAAGACATATTCGATGGCTAGAGTCCCATTAGACCCGTGCTGAGCATACTTTGACCATCTGCTGAGCGGTTGATTTGGACAGAGAGTGCCGCAATTTTCTGCGAGGCAAGGTGGCGGTGTGGGCATGTTGGAAAATTCTCTCCAAATCGACTCAAGATCTAGATCTAGATCATAGTCTAAGGGACGATAATATCAGTGCCAAGACGATATATTGAGGATAACGCAACTAACCGATCTGATCAAGTTGTTCCATTCTTTTCAGTGCAGCGAGTACCACGCTCGCGACGAAGGCGTTTTTCTGAAGAATGAGAAAACTAGGGATATAGACAGATTTATGGGTTTCATATCGTTTATGTAGAACTCAGAAAGACGAGCTGCTTACTGTAACTTAAAGAAAGCTCAACAAGAAAGAAAGGAAACCACCCCCACCCCGCGCCCACCCAACCAGAGGTCTGCCCAATAGCTAGTTACGTAGTGGCGGTTTGTCCTTATTTACGTAGGAGCAAACGGTAACGATTTGGTTAAACCGTTGAAAATGTATTGGTGGTGAGGCGTCGGGAATGCCCGCCCCACTCACCAGCGGTTGAACAATCCCTACTGGTCATTGCGTGCCAGCCCGTAAGACCGGTCAGACCATGTTCTTTGTCCTGGTCAGACGGAGTTGTCTCACTTCATTCCTGCACTAACTCACTGTAGCTCACTTATCTGACGCGAGTTTCTGTCGCTATTCTGCAATGTTCCCAGCACACCCTGGTGTACAGACCCAAAGGCCTGACGACGATCCCACAGCAGCAGTTCTTGGTGATTGCAGCATTGTTGAAGCTTTTCGTTTTCCTCCATCAGCCATTTTTGCGAGTTTTGCAGGTAGCGACGTTCATCTTCCAAGCGTATTTTGCCGGCTGACTTGATCGTGTAGCACTCCCAGAGACACAGATACAGGTCCAGGAGATCAACGGCAGAGGACGCCGAAGAATGACAATTTTGCAGGATCTGTGTCATATCGCTTGTCAGAGAACAGAATTCACCTGTCGGTACTGTCTATATCTTGGTTAATGCCGGCCATAGTGGGTCAAAGGAGAATCCAACCTTTGTCTCGTCCGGTGACGCCCGTTTTGAAGAATCTATTATCTGTTCGAAGCCCTCTAGCATACCGACTGAATTGTTAAACTGATCTGGACTTTCGCGCTTTCTTTTATGGGCTCTTCCTGACTGAGAGGGAGAAGCAAGAGGGTTCATTGAGTCGTGCGGATTCCAAAAGCTGATCGTTATTTAGACGCAGAGAATTGGCTGTAAGAGAGAGTAAGGCCTACTCGGGTAAACAGTATCTTTATATCAATAGTCAAGAAGATCACAATACGATAGACTAGCTTCTAGGGTGATTCCATGATGGTCACGGAAAGGGCACCACGTAGCTGACTATCACGATAAACACGCCCGCAATGAAATGCCCTCATTCACCACCAGACTCAATAAGACCATGTCTTGCAAGGGTGAATAGTCTTGTACTGTCGTTCGATTACGACCAGTCATGCCCATATAAATGGGGCCTGGCAAGAAACGGCGGGTGCGCGCAGAAACCGGTTAGCACTTCGCCGAACCCGCTCAATTCCACGGGAGAAAAAGAGCCACAAAAAGTGGTAAATCAAAATGGTGGGAGGAGTTTCGGTTTGCGGATGCTTTGGTGAATTACGAGTTCTGTATCTGAGGGACACGCTTGGATACCGCAAGAGAGGTCTTACGACTTCATACATATTTGCCTAAAGTGGACTATTGTGGACTAAGATAAAGAGAAGCAAAAGATATATTTTTTAAGTACTGTATCAGCACGAGTAAGGAAGATCATGACCATGCAACTGCTTCCTCTGCCCAAATTCATCATGGGACGCGTTGCTTCGCGTAGCAGTCCGCCGCGAACCATAAGAACTACAATGCAGGCCTACAATTCGTACGGTGACTCCATCAGCCCGCCTCCTGGGCATGCGGACAGAAAACGAGCCCCATCCACCATAGAACCATCCCAAATGGAAGAGTCACTCATATCTGCCGAATGGAAGGGCAGCCGAGTCGTATCGTCGCATGCAGGGCCGGCGAGCCCCTTTGCCACCCGATGAGGGATAGACACGACGCATTAGAAACTGCTGATTCCGGTATCGATCACCGTGGGAGAAGTCCCCAAACGCGAGGACCTGCAGAGCCGGCAGTCCGTCGGGGCCGAATGCCCATTCAGCAAACGACACGAGCTCCTCGGCCTCTGCAATGGCCGCAGAAGACGCAAGAACTGCCTGCTGCGGGTCCATATATTCGAATTGTGACCTGGCAAAATACTCATCGAAAATAGGACCGTAGCTGTGGGTATCATTGGAAGCATTCTGGTTCACGGAACCCCAGCACGAACGTGGATGCCGCGAATACCTTTTACGCGTCTCACGTAGAAAGGTGGTAATTTCTCGTGGGATGTCTCGATGGATTCGCTCGAGGCCGCTGAACCGTAGATGTAAAATCTGAAGCTTGGAATGCTTCGCCGTAGGTCGAAGGCACCGCCGCTGTTTCTATTAGTATGCACACGTCAACTGGACCGAGGAAAACTTACAGCCGCAGATGGACTAGCACACAGAGCTACGGCGGACACCTGGCCTAGGTCTACAATGGCAGACAAGTTTGTAATCCACGCCGGTGACACATCCCGGTCATCCTCAAATAAGCCATCAGCATCGATGGGAGCGAGTTGACGCTCATGGTAGACAAGGCTTTTCAACGTGGACTGGTGGTGTCCGATGGCGTCCTGGATGTGGGATTTTGATGCCGGGAAATTGGACAACCTCAGATGTAGATGCTGCAGCCCACGAAACGAACATAAGAACCGCACAACAGCAGAAAGGCTACGTCCTTCGCCTGGCTCGTGCAGCAGGTAATCGAAAGAAAATTCAAAATGCGTCAGTCGGAGCGGCTTTTGTGACCGAGACAGTAATTGCACGAGACGCAGCTGATTCGGGCAGTCGCGCAGCGTAAGCGCTTGCAGGGAACAGAATATCGCATGTTGCTCTGATAAGATATCTGGAGGCAGGGTCACCTTTGACAGTGACAGCGTGGATAGAGCGGGAGGAGCTGTCAGATCCCCGATCCCCGTATCCCCGTTCCTTGTGTCGCTGGTACCTATATTTCCGGCCTCGAGCTCCGATTGCTGAAGCCCAAGGCTCTCCCAGCACAGAGCACGGGCAAAAGCTGATGGAACGAAGCCGACGGATAGATGATCCAGGCGGCTCCAGTTCCGACGGATGCACTGTCGCAACAAATCAACCTCAGACGGATGCTGGAGTCCTTCCCACTCAAACACCGTCAGACAGGATAGTCTAGACACTCCGTCCAAGCGGTGCAATGTTTCTGGACAGGTGCCGTCAGTGACGAGCGAGAGACGAGCGAGGCGCTGTTGGTACCGAGTGAGATAGCCTTCCTGGTCGAGAACCCCTACTGGAATACAAGTCCCTAGACGCCATCTATTGCTAGTCAATCACAGGTCTAGATAGATAGATACCGGCCTATACGAACTCAAACGTGCTCAGTCTATTCGGCTTCAGGTGGGTGAATATCAGTTGCAATTGATCCTTCACGTCATCTAGGAATTGCCGGTGTGCCGCCGCCTCGTCCGAGGCTCCCAGGGTAGCCGGGGACTCCGGCAGCCCCGCCGCACGAAAGATGTTGTAGTATGCACATCGGTTAAACCGAACAAGGTGGAATGGAGCCTTGATCTGTAGGTGCCGCGCGTGTTGGAGATAGTCCGCGGCCCGTGAAGGACCGAAACGGAGAAAGAAGGGCTCGACATTCAACACATTCAGCGCCCATTCACTTGCTGCACAGAATGAAATGGTACGGTATATCCGAGGAACCAAAACTGCATACAACCTGGACGAGGCTCGGCTGAGAACGCGTAGAGTGGTAGCTGATAACTGGTAGGCGGTCAATACCTGGACCAAAGCAAACACACTGGAACTCACCCAATCTGCGATCAACATCAGAATCTCACACGGCAAGGTGTTCAGCATTGTAGTCTGTGCTCACTTCATCAAAATCGCTCTGGACAGCAAGAGGCTTATAAGCACGCATCTATCTGAGCACCCAGTCAAGTTGCCCAGACATTGCGCAGAGGACTTCAATATTCGCAGGCACGCATCATCGTGCTGGATGGTAAGCTCGTTCGACCAGCCCATGATAAACGGGCTCAGCGCCGTTTCTGTAACCGCTCTTCACCCGCAGGCCACCAAGTCTTGTGGAGCGCATTGCCAAGCTCAATGGTCGTCCAACATGAACGGCAAACAATCAACTGACCACAACGTGGTGTATCTTCACCGAAATTGGCAACCACAAGATAAAGTTCTGATAGACCGAGGAGGCTGTTCGGTACAAAATAATAAGAACGTTCAAAGGGCAGAACTGGTCGGATAAACATGTCGGCGCACGGTTCATGTGGGGCAACGGAACAGGTCGCGGTTGAGACGGTCAGTCGCGGTTGAACGGTTATCAATGTGGTTCAACTGTAAAACACGACCGATTGCACAAGTTTGCCCAAGGCCATTCCATTTCCTACGAAATAGGCGACAGTAGTACGGTCGAGCAGTTGACCGGGTCCTGACATCCATCTTTATACCTCAGTGTCATTAGAACGTTGCTTAGGCAGAAAATGGAAACAGAATTTGGCCTCTTACCTTGGTACAATTTTAGTATCGAGCGTCCAACAACAACTGCACAAGTTTTGTCACAAGACTAAGGCACCTGGTAGTATGGTATATTGTCACGATTTGTACTGTATCCGGCCAATTGGAGATATCAATGACTCTGTATTGCATTACCCCTATTTCCTGCTTTTTGTAAGGCAATTTAAAATACATTTGCGGGTTCAGGGACTACTGTATTTCCGAAGCCTTCGAATCATCTATGGAACCGGTTTCATGCGGTATTCGTAAGCCCAATGCTTAATATTTGCGGCATCTACTTAGTTAGCTAACTTAACTAGTTAGCCATGTATGACTGACGTTTCAGGCATCCATACTGATACCTCGGGAATGAATCAGATCGACATTTAACTAATGAGATTAAGCATGAACAGAGCTTTCACTCCTTCAATAGTAGGATCCCAACATAATAGGCTACATTATGAGGGATCAGACCTAAACAACCTCTTTGAATCAATACAACACCTACTTCCAATATATCATACACCATCAATTTCACTTAGCTATCTATAAGGCGGTTGGTTGACCTGACAAAAGCCACTCACGTCTACTGTCGTGAAATAGGAAGATAATACCACCGAAGCGAGGGAGAAGAATATCATGCCAAAGCTATACAAGCAGTACCGAAAATTTCTAAAGCACTTCGTCTGTAAACTCTGCGGGTTAGAGACATATATACAGAATTTAGCCGATCCAAGGGGCACACGATCTCGGCCATCTCGGTACATTATGATCAATTAAAGAGGGTGGACACTGCCGGTTTCCAATATCGGAGATGTAACCTTTTCTATCAACAATGGACGGAATCCAAGGCAAGGAGCGATATGAGAGCTGATGATCAAATATTTTGCTCCTGCCAGTACTTCCTGGTCCCAGTATTTGAGCGATCACCCCACTTTGTAGTCTGTCACATCGTCTCTGGAATCGATGAAGCTCATGCTGCATTTTGAAGTACTGCCGGCAAGACAATTCTCGAATAGGTGACGGCGCTGTAGACAAGGACTAAATGCATCACATAGAGACTGGGCCGCCAGCCATTCACCACCCCAATCCTCTCTAACGGACGAAGCAGATAGAACGCAGCGCCAAGAGGAATGCCAATGGCGACTCGACTGAAGTGGGCCGCCACTGCGGGTGGGCTTTGGAACGTCCCGGTCAGAGCATAAATGGTTGGTATGAGTGAAAGTAAGCCCAGTGAAATGCAGCTGTACGGAAATCGGTACTGAACCGCACAAACAATGGGATCGGAGACCACAAAGTCCACCAGGATGCCGACAGCAACAACGGTAAAGGAAGCTAGGTATCCGAGCTGGAGGCAGGGTTCGGTGCGGAACAGCACAACCACCGAAGGAAGGGTGGCCGCCCAGATCAGGACTAAAGTGGCTCCAGACTCCAGCTTTTGCCACTCTTCCGCATCATTGCCCCCGAAAGCGTCTAGAAAGCGGTAGAAGAGGCTGGACAAGCACCAGAAGATGACACCTGCGCAAAAGGCTAGCACGGACAAGGAGTCTAGAATACCTCCGGGGGTGGAGGGGAAATGGAAGAGCAGAAATTGAATCACAAAAAGGTAAAAGTAAAACAATCCAAAGACATTAATTATGGTGAGGATTGCGAAATCGTGCAGGGACTGCGCTTTTGGGTCAGCCATTTAGGTCGTTGGTCGCGTGATTATTGGAGCGACGACTTGGGACAAGCTGGGCTTTTAAGCTGAGCAACAAGAGCGGGCAGCTGCTGAATCGGACGTCGCCTCGGTCCGTGTATATTGCCTGGGACCTAACCAACGCAACCTAGTAAGAGAACATCATCATGACAAGTTAGGCATTGTGTGCCGGTTAGCAAATGGCATTAACCAATGGGTTAAGAGAGGGTGGTTAAGAGAGGGTGGTTAAGAGAGGGTGGTTAAGAGAGGGTGGTGTTGGTTAATAAGCGGTGCTTAGGTGTTCATATTATTGAAGGGATTTGATTGTGTGTTGTTATGTTGTGTGTTAGATACAAAGAGGCCGGTAGCCTGGTAAATATGTATTGAAATGGGGATGGCTCGATGGCAGTATGATATAGCGGACGGGTCGATATCAATGGAGAGAAGACAACCAACCACTCCCATACCCACCGTAGGCGTAGAGAGTAGTCTCAGGAAGCGACTGAAGTACTGATCTTGATGCTATACCATGAATGAAGAATCTGGTGGAAAAACTGTTGTCATATTGATGATGGATGGATGTCCTTCCTAGGAGAAGACTGCATGCAAGCTTCCTAGGGCATTTGCGACACTTGGCCAATAATACGCTACAGTCATGGGTTCCACCACTACAGTATGTAGCACATGCTCCCAGCCCCCATGACTATCTCAGTGACCGGGATATTCAACAGAAACACTAGTACCCAATTCTGGGCGGGCATCATATATGTGGCGGTCGGCGATGGCTTTGCTTTTCTTGGTTTTACTGGCTTACCCTTGGTCTATCTCATGTCCATCAATTAAATGACACATAAAATTATGCCATCATAATTAAATTATCAGATACATCCTGATCTAAGAATTTTTCTTTTGATGGATGGATGGATGGTTTCACGAAGCTAGCCAACACCGCCGGTAATCGCCGCGCCTAATACTAAAGTTAAGTAGCCCACCGCTTTCACTGCAGCTACTTTTTCGGGTTAATGCTGCGGACCTCAAATTTGCGATTGCAAGACCCGGAGCATCCACTCAAGTCAGTTCAATCGGCTTTATGACCGCTCAACGGAAGTGTCATCCAGAGGCACATACGATCTTTGAGGTTTGTGATTCTTTTTGGTGACGTCGCTTTCTTCTAATTGGGAGCAGTCAATCAGCTGAGGGCGGCACCTCAAGGCCGAGAGCGGTTAAGGTTGAGAGCGGTCAAAGTTACAGTCTATATTATCATAATTTCAGCTACTAAAATAAGCTGGTAATTGAAAGAAATCACAGTTGCTGAATCTTGAATGTTCTTAGATCTAACAACGTTTCGAAGTGTGAAGTTCGAAGTGCGACCTGTCTATGTGAGACCTTAGACCAGGCGAGTGGGTCATACTCATTATTTGTGGCGATTATTTGTCTTCATCACTTTCCACAAATGGTCACGTCCTTGCGCTCTCGTTGGAATAATTCGGGAGAGACGACCTTAAAAAGCATTCAAAGTTTCACGGCATATGCGTTGCAAATTTATGACGCGATGGATCTCACCCTTAACTACCATGATGAGCGACACCAGAATGAACTTATGGCTTTTGCATTACCTCTAGTTAGCTATTTGTGTCCCTTTCTTTTATCAATCAGGTATCGAAATTCTCTTACTACCACCAAATTTCGGTCCTGAGACTAACTCCGCAGCTTTCTACTACTTCCATGGACACTACAATCCGACCAGCCGGGGTTTACTAGCCTTGGTCAGTTTACAGCTGCCATAATAGCAACAACGGTGTGCGTTGTATTTTCCTTCTCAATTAAGCTGTTTTTCAGCCCCTGGTGCCGAAACCACCACATCCGTGATTTCACCATGTTGTTGAAGTATGGTCCTACTCTTCGAAGCATATCATTAGACATGCGGCTGACCTACCATTTCGGTCTAGTGGGTGCTATGAAGCCAGTAAGATGGGCTTTTTGAACATGTCTATTTTCCTTCTTTTCGCACCCCAAGGTTCTTTGCGACTTGCTCTGACTGGTTGGACTTTGACTATTGCCGTCACAATATGCTACATTATCATGCTTTATCTTGCCGATGATGAATAGGACGATATATATAGATGAAATATGCAGGATGGATCGAAACCAGTTACATCACTATTCACCTTTAATTTAATCGACCGCATTTCCACTCCCACCTAAAAGCTGTACCTCTGTCTCATGGCCGCCTGCTGCGGCATATGATAACGGCGTTCGACCCTTAAACTCCGCATAGCCCACATCCACCTTTCCATTTTCAAGTAAAAGCTTCACTATCGTCTCATGGCCGCCTGCTGCGGCATATGAAACGGGAGTTAGATAATGACAGTCCTTCATGTTCACATTCATATCCCCATTCTCAAGTAAAAGCTTCATCACCCCCTCGCGGCCACCCGCTGCGGCATGTAGTGAAGGGGTTCGATCCCAATTATTCGTTGAGTAACTATCCACCTCTCCTGTCTCAAGTAAAAGCCTCACCACCTTATCATGGCCATTCTGCGCGGCCAAAGATATCAGGCTCCGGCCAGTGTGACATTTCGCTCTAACATCACCGCCTTCGTGAATGGATATTCGAGCTTTAGTCTCGCTCCCTTTTATAGCGGCCAATTTCAATGCGGAACTTAAATATTGAGCGTTGATGCGATAAAGGTACGGATTGAGGAGACCGTAGAGCTTTTTGCTGTTTCGACATAATGAGTTGATATCTCATACTTCCTCCAAAAAGTGTCCGGTTACTATGACTAATTCCGCAGGTAGATGGAGGAGAAACATAGCTGAGTAACTGAGATTAATTAGCAAGCCCGGACGGACAATCAATATTGAATCGGAGCCAACGAATTGAGATTGAGCATGTGGGAGAAGTTGTGCCTTACCTTAGAGCAGACCGTAGGCAGAATATCTGAAATATTGCAACTAAGAGTATTGTAGTGGGCAAGGGGAGGTAAATAAAGGAGTGTCGAGACTCGACATATCATTTATATGCTCATGTGATCTAAAAAGAAGATACTTACACCCATAGATGATGACCAAGGCATTGGTGTTGATGAGCCTGGGCGACCTGCGAATGACGGGAGCAACGTGGTCGGTCCGATGCTCTAACTGGTCGCTCTAGTAATCTACCTGACCCTGGGCGTAGTAGAAAATGTTCCCGCTCCTAGGAACCGCTAAAAGTCAGGGGGGAACTTGAGGTAACCAGATTCTAGACCACACAGCCTCATAGTCCGTTTTGTATGTCTCCTGGTCAAGTCTGTACTAATTGCGAAGGAAATTAAGATAAAAGTTGGGCGCATTCGATAGCGTGTCGAGTCTGCTGAGAGGTCCCAAAGAAGGTGGGAGATGTAGTGTGTCACAGCCTAGGACGGGTCAAACCGTACTAAAATTCGCCAAGGCGTCACAGCAGTTCTGAGGTCGCACGACACAAGGGCAGCATGATAATGGGAACGTTATTACGCCACGATAGGCCTTTACGAAGCTCTAAGTTCGTTTTCAGGAAGTGGAAGACTCTACATGTACGCACAGGGACACAATCGTTGTTGTAGCATGCATGTCGCTTTGCGAGTTGGATTGGAACTACAATCCACTAGGATGGGTACCGATTCGTATTTTAGTCTAGTTGGGAAGTCAATTAAAAGCGAGGGTTTGGAGTAAATGAATCATCCATCCATCAATCCAGCCTGTACATTGTGCTGTCTTCAAAAAATGAAATATTACTGCTACCTCAAAATCAAGAACAAAACTGCGGTTGGAAAATGCCAAAAACTCAAGAGAGGTCGAATGTATCGTCATTCGCCTGACCCTCACTTTGTGATGTCTGGCGAACAAGCTGCTGTTCCCTGCCAAGGCTACAGTTTGGTGTGATGCTGCGAAGAATATCAGTACCGTAGTTGACCCATCAAGTTGATGTCGCTTCTTTGTTTACACGTCATGGTTAAACCCCTCAGTAAACTGCATCTTGAGTCATATTAGACATATTCAGACCAAGTGCAAATAGTGAGAATCCTCATTTATGATATGCGGAGCTATTTGACAGAAAGGAAAGGGAAAGGAAGGTACATTACATTGTCTACGGTAGACCTCCGGGACATAAATAGACATGGATCTCCGTTTTCCTCCAGACTATCCATTTCAGAGAGCATTCTCAGCTATATTGGGCTATGTCTTCCCCAAACGCAGAGGGAGTTTCAAAACGCAATCTGCGTAACCAGCCAACAAAGGAATATAATGTAGAAAAGCTTCAAAGAATGGCTGAAGGAGGGAGTGGAATCTCCCAACCTAAGGCTGCTGCTGCGAATGCGCAAGTCTCGTACACAGAGCCAAACTCAAGCAAAATTACTGGCGCGCATACAGAAAATCGGAGCCAGTCGGTTCAGTCACAATCGAAGCCTCAGTATAACCCTCAAGAGGAGCAGCCAAGGCCTGACGGTACGAGCGAAGCGGTCCCAGTCGAACCAAAGGACCAGGATATGAAAGACTATGAACCTAAAAGAGAAACATCTGGGTCTCCTTCAGCCAGCCCAAGATCGGGTTATTTGGCCGAGAACGCAGCTGAACTTGGTACACCCGCTGCTGAACCTATTACACCCGCTGCTGAACCTGTTACACCCGCTGCTGAACCTGTTACACCCGCTGCTGTCGGCGCCAATGACTCGTTAGACGATGTCCTAGTTGACCTGAAGAAGTTGTCAATTGGTCGCGATCACGATGGAGAACCAGATGCCTGGAGCCGTCTAGGACGGTCACTCATATTGCTGGTTCGATACGGACCCTACAAAGCGGCAAAATACCAGGTTCAAACTGCAAATGGATACAACACCCAAGGGCTACAGAAAGTATCGAATCTCAAGACCCGAATTTCGCATCTAACGTACGAAGGGGAAGACGGGGAAGACCACTATAGATACAGCAGGAACAACATCGTCGGCATTGTTGGTGTGGCATTTCGGGAACAAAAGGACACGAACAAGGATTACAAAACAGCTCCCGCCGCTTTTGTCAAAGTCAAATGGCAAGGAATCGATGCTGCGCATCAGAAACTGTTGACCAGGGACACCTGCTGGATTACCAAGGCAGATCTGGTCAGACTTACCGACCTAGCCACCGCAGAGCAAAAGATCTCCGAGGCTTGGGATAGGCAGGAGGAACGTTACAATCATTGGCAAGGTCAAATGGGACGAGACAGCCCTGATCGTTCACCCACCCCTTGCCCGCTGGATGCTTTCAAAGCACAAAAGGAGGAGAGAATAAAGCGCGAGCTTACAATGGAGCCTTCTATGCCAAGGGCACAAAGTATGGGGCTGGACCCAGAGGGGTGGAGCCTAGCAAGTCGCCAGACAACGTTAAACAACAACGAGCGTTTTGATTCGATTCCGGTAAAGCAAGAATTGAACAATGACGACAATGACCTGTTTGTCAATAACTTCAGTAGCAATGGTCAGAATGCCAATGGTCAGAACGCCAATGGTCAGAACGCCAATGGTCAGAACGCCAATGGTCAGAACGCCAATGGTCAGAACGCCAATGGTCAGAACGCCAATGGTCAGAACGCGAATGGTCAGAACGCGAATGGTCAGAACGCCAATGGCCGAGATACCAATGGTCAGGATACCAACTATGTGAACAACAACGCCCTGAATAATGAGACAGGAAGCGGATCTACTCAAAGTCGGCCACCACCAAAATTGAGCAACTTCTATAAGAATTGGTTGAAAAGAGCGAAAATTAAGGAAACCGATTTTGGTGACCTCGATGATCGATCCATTGCGAGATTCGAAGCTGCTGCCTTTGTTTATATGGACTCGTTGAGGCAGCAAGGCTACGTTGTGGAAGATGATATGGGTGTGAATATCTACGGTGAAGAACCGTAGTGATAGCAATCAAAGGTTTCGGCATTTGTAGAGATCTAGGTATTCCCGCGGTGATGGGACGAAGGTGGCAGTAATTTTCCTTTTCCATCGCTGGCGATGCGAAAACTTCGCTCAGCATACTTGTTAAAGTTATTATTTTTACTTCTGTTTATTTGCAATTACAATGAATATTAACTTCTGATATCGAACAAACCTAGCATGGGGCGAAGAGGATAATGTATACATCCTGAGCAGCCAGCAGCTTGGAATTAGTGTCATAGAAATACATGTAAAATGATGGCGGTTTTGGGCCAACTTGCTCACCTAGCTGGTGACACCAACAGTTAACAAACAGTGTGCATAGACTACTGTACTCTCGATATTTATTGATCAGCCCCGAAGAATCACATAGTCCCAGTACCGTGTACACTGTTAAGTGAACAGTTTTTATGCTCCTAAAGCGAAAGTTGGTTGATCCATGTATATTCTTACTCTCTCTCTGTCCCCTCTCTTTCCGACTACCCCCTGAATCCGTCTCAGCACCAGAGCCGCAGCTTAGTGCAAGATTACATATACCAAGCAAAGAAATGTGATCTGTTGGTATCACCAGCTAGGTACTGTACACAGTTAAGTGGACAGTGGTTATGCTTCCAAAGCAAAAGTCGATTTGATTCATGTAAAATAGATGTGTCTCCCAGGTCGTGGTCCAATGCCCCTGAATCCATACGGCGGGAGGCGCAGCTTAGCAAGATTACGTACAAAGTGTCTTTGCTTATTCTGACGGGAGGATATGTCCCGACATGATCTATCCCTAATGATAACTTACCGCTAGCGTGTTCTGACAGAAGGATATATCCCGACATTAACCAAACCTTGGTTTAACATGTCTTCTGCTCGCCATGTATGGGCGTGGTTTTTATTATGCTCACCAATAAAAATAGAACAACAAACTATGTAGGCATAGCATGAAGTAAGGTAAAACACAAGCCCATAACTGCATCAATGTAACAACCCAGGGGAATTGCAGGAATCACACTCCGTTCACTTCAACTCACCGTTTTCATTCATATGGATTTTAAGTTAGTTTATCAGCATGTGAAACAATGAATTTGTGCACTCGTGCACCATCTCTGGAAGCTCATTGGTTGGTCCGGTATCTCCTCGCTGCGAACAATAACTGAATAATATATATAGGCTAAAAGAAAAGGAAGAAAAAGGGCAAGAAAGAATAGACCTTAGGGGCTTCGTGGCTGGCTATAATGGGGCTTGGCAACAAAATGCGAGATTTATATGGGTAGGCAGGCGGAGAACCATCGAACGACATCAGCTATATAGGGTACATACACCTTTGCCTAGTACATGCTGCCTTTGGTTTGACATGGTAGTTCGCTTAAATGGTACTCATTTATCCGTGGATGCACTGTTCTATTGGCGTCCACATGAAGAACACACAGGCAACGCTTCCAGTGAAGTACCCTGGTGTTCAAATCCCTCCTCGTCGTCCGCTATAACCCTTCTCAATTTGATAATTTTATAATAAGCAAACAAGAGAGAAAATATTATCATGAGTAGAGCAGTCACAATGACAGTGACAATGGCCATTACAGACCAGTGGCCTGATCGGGAAGTGTAAATGTTGACAAGCGTGGTGAGAAGCCCAGCGGCTGCATTAAACGCAGCTGGCCTATAGTCTCGTCAACACAAGGCCCGTAACCCTCTCGTTTTTATATTTCTTACATGAAGATCTTGTTGATGAGCCATAAATAGTTGTTTTGAATTTTTCGGAAAAGCACGGTCAACGCAGTGGCTCCACCGGCAAGAAATAAGCAAGCCACCACGAGCAAGGGCGGATTTTGTATAGTGTGTAATACAGCCCGCCCCGCGGTGTTCTTTTTCAGGATTTCCTCTACCTGGCTTGATTCCTTCAGCGAAGTAAATGTTCCGGGAATTACCAAGTATCCAGCAAGGAGGGCCCAATTTGCTATGCTAACCGAGACATTGTATTTCCAATCCATTTGCGCCTCTTCCTTTAACATTGTTGTATAAGTAGTATCATGACTTTGGCTGAAAGTGGTGTTTGCGCGTTGTATACCTTGAGTGGAATCGGATTGAGCATGCCCCGCTCGCTTTCTTACAATGTCTGATTTACTAATCTCCATGGCTCACGATATGAATTGGGTATGAAAAGATTATGATACACTTGGAAGGCGAAGAGGCGATGTAGCATTTATATTAGCTGTCGTGGGATTAAAATGCCCCTCATTTTCGTCTTGACCATTGCGATTCAAAGGGATACTGCAAAAAGTGAAGTGCATGGTACAGTTAGCCGGCCATTAGAGCGAGAGCGCAAGATATTGGAAGAGCCTATGTAATCAGGAGTTGAATAGCATCGAACCGAGAGGACTCTTCCCTGGAGGTAATAAAACCCCATCAGTATTAATGTTCTGGGACGGCATACCAGCTTAAAAGCACCTCATAACTTATGCGAGGGTTCCTCACTATAATGGTTATAATGATTAGAGTGTAATTCCTGGAACTACCGTGGAACAATGTGAGGCCCGCTCACTTATCGCTATAACGGAGCTGTCACATGGAGATACCAAGTAATTGATGGCAGCAATCCTCAAACAAAAATACAAAAATATAAAAGCACCAGCGCTCTCAAAAATCCTTCTTCTCTGTTATGTGAAAGGGAACGTTATGGCGGCGTGGCTCGATATCCTCTCGGATACCACGGGCAGATGTTTGGTAGACACTGGGCGATTTGAAGAAATTCTCCAAGGAATGAGCCACCCCAACTCGCAATATCCTTCTCTTGTCTATTTCGCGGGCAATGGAAATCGTATCAAGGCCCTGCAAGCTTTATTTCCTCGCAATAATGTCACTCGCAAAGGACCTGCTGGACTCATTCGTGTACATCTTAGTACAGCAACTGCACATACTGAGCATCCTATCATATTTGCCGAGAGTAACCCTTTCAGTCAGGCTGGGGTGGGTGACACTTGCTTGCTTAGGTGGTCCGGAGACAGACATCGACGATATCCTCTCTCCCTTGGGGAGTCTCAGCCTCTAGCAGACCTTCAAGAAGTGATAAGGCAGAAAATTTTACCATGGACGCAAGTTCTTTGCTTGTTTGTCGACAGCATCTCTGAGATGCAAAATGCACGACAGCTGCTAGATGCACCGATCGGGACCCTGTTGATTGGGGCTTCACGTATCCATAGCATGATGCGTGTGGTAATTGTGCTGTCAGGCAACTCTCAGGTTGAAACGCGTGGCGCCGATGACGGCTTTGGATTACCCAATGCAGGGTTACGGCAGCACAAGCTCACAATTCTGAATCTCCGTGACCGGTCAAAATTGTCACCATCCGTTGCGTTTGATCCATTGAGAAGCCTAGTTCTTGACCAAATCCAAGAGATTAGATCGTTACAGAAAGAAAAATGCCTCTCATTCTCAGCTGTGCATCTCAACGCGCTCTGGGGCCGAAATCTTCAACTTCGAATGGGAAGTTCAAATCCAGCCAGCCTTGACTGTCTTTCAGTTGCACGAGAGGGCTTTAAAGGAAAAGCAGCGATGGAAAGCTGTTTTGTGGAGCTACAAACTCAATTTGCAAGTTCTGCTTGCCCTGAGAATGAGCTTTACAGCTTTATCGCCTCAGCCCTCCTTATGGATGCCTATCCGCCTGAGATGCATCGTAAGCAATCTCTGCATCAATAAATTCACTCTATCAGCCCACAGAGTCTTTGTATGAACTATCACTAATAGTATTTATTGTTATAGTTTTCGAACCGAAGATGGTGTTCAATTCACTTTATCGGGTACATTGTTGGAATGCCTGGGAAGGGAGAGACCCTGAAATAATTTGCGATAAAATTTTACACTGCTTCATCAAGAGCTTTGCTGAATTGAGGTCCAAGGCCTCAGCGGACATTCGTCACAAATCGGTTGTACAGTTCCATCGCCGATGGAGGGGTTGCAATCAACAACAACTTGCTTTACTTGCATGTGTGGGCCACCAGAGCATATGCTGCCTTGCAGGCATGCAATCTGTGACAATTGCGTTGTCATATATGGAACTACAAGTTCCCGCACGGAGTACCATATCGATCTACCAGAATGCCCTATTTGTGATAAGACAGTGAATCAAACGATTCGCCAACTTCCACCAACCAAGGGGCCAATCGTGATAAGTCTAGATGGGGGAGGCGTTCGTGGTATCATTCAGTTAGGGCTCCTGCGAGCACTAGAAAGGCGGATTGGCGGAATATCAATAGCACAAGTCGCTGACTTATTTGCTGGGACAAGTGTTGGTAAGAGCACCCAACTGTCATTGCGAAGACTGCACCTTTGAATAAAGAGCACTGATCTTTGAATAGGGGCGCTTTCAGAAGTGGATATAGTTTTGAATGGCTTATCTGCGGAGGAGAGTTTCGCTAAGTTTCCGGCATTTGCTCAGATGATTTTCGGATCGCCTCCTAAGCGTGCACCGAAATCCCCGATATCTCGGTGTGTCACATGGATAAAAAGTCTGGCACACTTTCTAGCCGATTGCCAGTATGATTCAGAAAGATTAGAGGATACCTTGCAAAAGGTGGTCGACCCCCAACGTCGGATGTTTGATGTGGCGACGACGAGCTCCACCGGTTGTCGAGTCGCCATTATCACGAGTCGTACTTCGGACGGGAAGGCGTGTGTTCTGGCGAATTATCGTGGGATGGGCCAGCGAGAAGTGAATGCAGCGTATCAGTTCCTTGTCCCTAAGACGGAGGATGAGAATCCTCACGTATATAAAGTGTGAGTTGCAACGAATTACCATTAATCTGACGTACTATTATTTGGGACGACGAGTGAAGCGTTTTGCTGACGAACAATACCTATAGAGCTCAGTGCAGCGTCGCAGCCCCTTTGTGAGTGTCCCTGTAGCTTTGAAAATGGTGGCTAATGACACGCAGCTTTTTCCGATCGAAATCCCTTCCAGGATTTGGATTGCTGCAGGATGGCGGAGTTCGCGCCAACAATCCTCTGGCAATTGCGCTCAAGGAGTCAGTGGTTATCTGGCCCTCAGCGAAAACTCATGACCTACTCTTGTCAGTGGGAACGGGGTCATTTTCTTCTGCGGCCAAGCCTAATGAGGCTGGTAGGAGTATATTGCAAGACAGTGCTATCCCTCGCATGATCCGAGCGACAATGTCCTCCCCATGTATGGATGGCGAGCAAGGATTTCATGAGGCACTCAATTTCGTGCCAGATGTAAAAAGATCAAACATATTTCGGCTGAATCACGAGCTACCTGAACCACTTCCTCGGTTAGATGATGTGAGCAGATTAGAAGAGATGGCCAAAATGCATTTTGCTGTTCCGACTGAACTAGTGAGAACTACCCTAGCGACCGCTTTTTTCTTCTTCGAACTCGATGAGTTGCCAACCAAAAGACAAGGTGCCTTTTTCTGTAAAGGCTCAGTTCTGTGCTCCCGATCATATTCCAGGGACCTGGTGAAGCTGGTGATGGTCGAATTTCCAGGTGCAAGGTTTGAAACGGCCCGTGGGCACCGCCTCGGAGACGTCGATGAAAATGACGGTTGCCATGTATGTGGATACTACCGCAAAAAGGTGGCATTTTCAATCAATGGACTTCATGAAATGACATCAATTGGGATCGCCGGCTCTTCGTTCTTCCAAAGGATCGGCGGCTTTCCAAAGTCGGTGCAAGAGCTCCTCGATGACCAACAAGCAAATTCCCACTTTGGTCGTGCAGACCATTTAGTTGCTTCCTGGCCCCCGAAAAGGAATTGTTACTGTTCCCCACGAGTTAAACGTCAGGTTCAATTCTTGGAGCCTGCCTTGATAAACAAGAAGCGGCGACTATGAAATATTATAGCACATTTGTTCTACGTTGACTGATTCAAGGCGCTCATATATTAGATGAATGTAAGGCTATGGTTTCCATGCTACGTTGATTGGTGTATTTCAACTTCCCAGCTGAGTGCGTCTCCATTGAACTCTAGAAAGAGGCCGCAAGCCATATGTTCAAGTAGAGTGACTTTCGACTGTAAGCCAAAATTAACCAAAATTTTGTTGCAAATTGCATTAAAAATACAAGCGGAGATAATGATCCCTTAAGACAGTGTGACGGAAGAAGAAGGATGGCGCTGGCGCCTAGTAAGAGTGCAGTGCCAGGTCTCTGTACTCCTTGATCCAAGCGAGCGCACGAGCAGCAGCCGAGAGATTGGACGGTTGGAGAGAAGAGGGCGTGGGAATGGCGCGCGTACACGGCGAGGAGGGACCCTGGTCGTGGTGTGACCAGGGGTAAATGAACGTACAGTTTGGGTTTCCTTGGGCTTTCATCGTGTATATCGTGTTGTATCCATGCGTTTCATTCGTTTAATTTGCATCTTTTACATTCGGGGTCGACTGATACAGCAACTCGCCCTGCGGTCGTCCTGTAACAGTCGCCCGGTGGGCAGGCGACCTATTTCCTCCTTCGGCAGACCTGATAGTACCCCCCGCACGCATATTTTAGAGCGAGCAACATCGGGCAATGGATTCATCATCAATTACAAAATTAAATATATTTTTCTACGTTTCCAACGAGTTAACCTTGCATTGTGAATGGGGGTAGATGTGAATGGGGGTAGATGTGGTCTGGTATACTGTAGAGAGGAACTGCTCCGTGCCGTATCAGTTTGAGAAAGCTTACGTAGAGCATGATCTTGGGCTGGCCACCAGAATGGCTTTCCTTAATCTGCGCTTCTATATTATGCTTTTACCTTTTATTTTATTTTCAACCTCCTCAACTATGCCCGCAGCAATAAGGATCCTTACAAACACCAGAATTTCGTCATACTGCATAGCGAAAACAACGTGAAATGGAAACTTTGTCAAAATGAGGGACCCGCAGGAAATTGACAATAATTTGGTCTTCAGCCTGTACAGTGCGGGATTCAAAGGTTTCAGCAACCGCCGCAGAAAAGAGCGCCTACTCAGGGATTGGCCCTTTGCACACATATAAGGTAGTCTAGGTATCAAGGGGAGATATGCAGCTACTGATTTTTTCTGAAAATGTCATTGAAGGCAACTGAGCCACATCCATCTGCAGATAATGCCTCAAGCATTTACAGTCGCTCACCGGAATCTCCGAAAAGCATGTCGAGCCCCATGCCAATGATACTTCCTATTCGACACGATCTTCCGGAAATAAATTCTCTGGATCATCAGATTGCACTGGCCCGAGGATCTACCATGGCATTGGAAACTACCCGAACGCGTCTGAAGTGCTCAAAATCAGGAAACCGCTTGTCATTTCAAGAGCTGAAGGAAGAAAGAATCTGTCAACGGGACCAACAAGAGAATGAGAACGACTTTTATCGATCCTGTTTCCAAAATTTTCTCAATTTGTCTATGGCAATTATTGAAGTTTCACAAGAGTTGACATTGCAGTATCACTTCGAGCCAGAGGCAAGACCGCTTGACAATGAATGGGTGTTTCAAGCAGTCCGCAAACTCCGTGTTGCTCTAGAGCAATCCAGAATTCGAGAAGCACAGGCTGAACAGACCTGGAAACGACAGTGGAAAATGTCTCGAGTCAATCATACCACACGCTGGATCTGATCCGCGTTCGCCTGTAACTAGTCATTGAATGATAATTTTCAATATAATTTCCAAAATTGCAACGGCTACGAAGCGCAAATATATGAAATGATTGACAGAGATTTCAAACATAATCTACATTACTTGTTTTGCGTGATCGCTGGACCAACTGTGACTACGTTCACTGGATCCTCGTTTATACCTTCCACCCCCGCAACTCCTGCAATACTCTGTTTATTTCCCTGGCAAAATCTGACCCAGAAAGCTTTTTATCAGGCCCATCACGTGGCATCCGCTTTCGTTTGCGATTTGGTGACATTATCCCAAGGATGGGCCGTGATTCAATGATCTCGGCCATTTCAAAATCAAAATATACTACCTTTTTGCTCTCTCGATTGTACAACCAATTTCGTGGGGCTGGATCTTTATGAAGAACATTTAGACGGTGCATCTCTGAGAGCGATTCCTTCATCTTGGTAATGAGGCAAGCTCGACTCATTTCCTTCAGTGCCAGGTCGAGGGGCTGTCCCCCAGTACTTAATAACATCATATGTTCAAGGTAAGCGATGCCGTCGTAGCTGTACGGATGAGCCAACTCGATACTTCCAAGGTAAAGAGGTATATATATGCCCTGGATCGGACGGAGCTTGCCGTATATGGCAGCTTCATGCCGAGACTGGTCCGCAAACTCTGGTACGGTGCATTTTGCAGGCACAGTATATCCGTGCGATGATAGCGTAACTTTCAAATGAGCACCCCGAGAACCGTGCATACCCAGTACTTCGCAATCAGCATTGATTGTCTCAAACAACTGACGCCGCAACCGTTTGAGGAAAGTGATTGAATTTATAACATGGTGCGTTTTTCCATGATCAAGGACATTGGGGCAAGTCCGATCTAGCTCACGCCTCTTAACATTCCACGTAGACACTTTAATGTGCAGTAATACCGATGATTTTCTCTCTTCCTCGAGAACGACCCTTGCGTGGCTGGTGTGGGGGCTAGATGGATCGACATTGGCTGTCCCTGTCTGATATTGCGACGTGTTTGTGGATCCCGGGTCGGCGTATCGGGGTCAGATTGGTCCTCGTCTGGATCTCCTTGTGCGTCTACTGGCTGGCAACCACCAATACTAGGCTTGTTCCGCCTGCGACGCAGTTGTATCGGAGACAATCGAAGTAACCCATAAGTCCTTGGAGGGCGATATTCGGAAGACGGTACGTCCTCATCTGGTATACTGTCCAGAACATCTGCGACCACCACTTCCCATCTTGGCAATGAGTCGATTGCTTGTTGCCTCCAAGCTTGATTGCGGGGCTGCAGTTTAAGCGCCTGGAGACTGAAAGCGAGGGATTGCCCCACCGCGGTCAGATGTAGACGATTCGGGCCGCTTGATTCGAGGTTCCAGCCAGTGAAGTCCCCAACATCTCCCTTTGGAACAGAGAGGTGGTAAAGAAGCGTCCCGGATCTCCTATTCGCAGATAAATATCAGCTTTGCCGGTACTTAACACTCCAATTTCGGTACCAGCACGAATCATGTAGTCAGTGGCTGCACGAGAAGCCCAGCAATCGCACGATGGAACCGGACTTTTGGGGTCTCATCATCTTGTTGCTCAACTTCATCGAGGTCCATATCCTCCAGCACTTCATAGATGTGGCCCAGAGTGGCCTTATGCTGAGGTTTGTACTCTTTGATATACGCTGCAACGCGATGGATGGACTCGGATGATTGGCTGGGAATGTTGTAGACGCAGAATTGATCGGCACGAGGCCTGCTGGTTCGCGCCGGCGGCGGAGTTTTCGGACCACGCATCGCTGTGGTGCTTGTCTCGCTTTTATCTCGGGCAGCTAAACGCGGCGAACGTCGCCGTGGCCGACCGCGAATATCGATACTCTGCATTCGCTCCTCAAGTTCCCACTCAGGGCTCAATGTATTAGAGTGGTTCTTAAAGCGTATCGACCCTCTCAACCCAAAAGTCTGTCGCAGATTTGGATCGTTGTAGAGTTCTTCGATGATCTTCGAAACATGTCCTCCACGGTTTGGCGAAGGAAGTGGTTAATGTCAAGTTCGGAGCCAACCGGCTGCCGCCGGATGCGCGCTCCTGTTTCTTCTAAGGTATGAACGGAAAGTAAACAGTCTGGCTTCGACTAGCGAAGAATCCATCAACAATCGCCACATGTCCTCTTGTTCTTTCGCGAAAGAGTCCCAAATTTTCAGCTTTCTGGGGCGCAGTTTGTTGGTCGCGTTTGCAGGATCTCCACAAGTTGATTGTGTCCTGTCCTGCTGAACTGCAAGACCGAGGAAGAGGTGGTTGTGGAGACAGTCAAGAAATGCGAGAAGGCTGGTTTTGGATGTCCTCTCCCTATCCTCCCTTCGAAGATGTTGCTCCTCGGCGCGTAGACGTTGATCTTGCGCGAAGACGTCGCTCTTCTGCCAGAAGGTGTCGTAGTTCGTCAAATTCGGTGAACATCTTGAGTTCTGTGCGTTGCTGATAGCAGTTTCAGAGTTGCAGGCTGATTGTTTGCCTGACGCGTCGCTCACGTGTCTCACCACGTGACACTTTTGGACCTCGTCACCGTGGGAAAAAGACCTCACTCGGAAGAATAGTAAAGCAGAGGGCTGGTTGCTGCCTCATGTCAAGATAGCAATAGGCTCTTTCTCAAAAGCTCATGTACCTGTGAATTAAATATATGTTCGCTTTGTTCTGTTAACCTCCTGGCTGCCTCTGGAAGAAGAGCACGCCTTTGCATCAGCTCTCGTGGACGGGACCGACATATACGAATCTGAAATACTATCCTCTGCTGAAGATGGTGTAAGCGCTCATCCATTTGGAATATTAGGTCATCCAAAGAACTGCAAAGGAATTCAAGCTGATGTGTACACTCCTTATCGCCGATGCAGCGCGCGAAAGCAACAGCAGCCTGAAGCATTTTAAGCAAGGATTCGCTGTTTTGCACAATTCTGTGAACTGCCGCATGGCGTATACCGCTCACGATATGCCTTAGGCTGCGAAGCGTAGCCAATGTCCGGTGAAAGCTTTTTGAAGAAATGTTTCCTTTATGTTGATTTAAAAACGAGAAAAGCCTGTGCAGCTCCATTGACTCTGCACAAACCCACTCGGCTGACCGACACGCCTGGGGCAACCAACGTTGGATGAAGCGGAATCCAATTTGCTCCAACAGTTTTTGCACAGCCTGTAAGACAAGGTGCTGAGCGCGAAAAGGCACCTTTTTTGGGACGCTCTCCTGCAACGTGGAAACATCCTTTGGCAACTCTTTGAATACGGTCGGTATACTCATATGGCTATCTTGAATTTAGGGGCTTACTGTGAATGTGCCGTTCTTTTCTAGCCCGTGCCACAACTCGTCGGGAAGTACGTATCGTATGATACATATTGATTGACAAATTTGGGACACAAGTTTTCAAAAAGCCTTGAAGACTGTCAACGACAATGATTGCTAGACCATTTGCGAGTGGAAAGCAAACGACTTATTTATCTCCACACCATTTGGGAACGCGTCTCCCAAGGCGGCGTTGTATCTCTGGAAGACCAAGCGGTTGATAGAACTTGCGGTTCACCAACGTCGAATAATCGGAATAGAACACCGCACTGCAAATGCACTCATATCTTCGTTTCCTAACTTTATTGAGGTCTCGCAAGTAGATTTCCCTGCAGTACTTGGTGACATATGAAGCAAAATGTTGAGGAATTCTAAATTTAAGCAGTTCAGCCAAGCCCGACCGATCCACATTAGTGACTACGCGTGTAGTACTATATGATTAGAGATGAACGAACTCACTTGACCAAAGCATGACCGACCGGAGCATTTTAGAACCCTCAAAAGCAGACTGTCACCCATAGACCGACATGTCCGGAGGTTTGTTTCTATCTATTTTAATCCAGGCTTAGATAAATAACAGGCCTGGACTGCTTCCTTCAAATAAACCACCATCTTATCTTTTACGTTGTGTCTCCTTGTTGTTGCGGCTCGACAATATCGAGTTTCCATATGGCGCCGGTTGAGAGTCGCGTAAAACAGGAGCTGCTGCGCAAGCGCCGCAATAACCTGCTACGCCGTCACAATGATTTCTGGCGCTTGTATTCAATCAGAAGTTGGGTGGTTATGGAAATGCCAAACGGCCGCCTCTATACCTACTATTCTCACCCTGACATCGCAGTTCCAACAAAACAGGAGATAGTAAGAGATCGCTTTGTTTCTGGCATTTTGAATGTATGGGGGTCTAACTTGTACAGTCTCAACGTCCTCAGCCTGTAGTCCACAAATCTCCACCCGACTATGACGCCTGTGACTCGGTCAATGAAACTATACCGAATCTGCCAGTGATCACTGTTTTGGGGCGTTGCAATGAGCTATGGAATAATTTATCGCACTACGTATCACGATAGCCAACACCAACATTTGTGAAGAAACTGAGAGCTCCTTTCCATTGAACAACATTTGTGCCGAAGTAACGGAAAGCGTCATGCATGGAAAATGGAGCTTGAGAACACTGCCATAGAGATGAAGTTTTACTGCATCCTTTCAATCTTGCTGGAGGTTGGAATTCCATACAACTGCAACGCGCAGGTAGCATGTTTAGGACTAGGAATGGGAACGTATGTTTTGGCGTGATCCGCTCGCCCGTTTACACTGTGGCAATCCTCCACATAGCCCAATTCAACCGGTCACATTATAGCTGAATAGGAGTGTCACCCAAAGACTAGATAAGCCCATAGGTGGATTTGCAAGTGTTTTATGGATGTCTCTTGAACGAATGCAGAGCTGCCAACAGATTGAGGAATCTAAGCCGACAGCGATTGATATTGGGAGCGGTTGATATTGGTGTGAGGGTCTCACGTATACATAGAGGTGGATAGTGTTTCAAGATTAACAATCAAGATTAAGAACAACTATAGTTGACTCTAGATACAAGACGTAGCGCGAGGAAGCAAAAGGAAGGTAGCTTCCTCGCGTTCAGGGGAACCCATGTACACCATGTGGGTCCCGTGCGGATCATATCTCCATCCGTTCCACATGCTTCATCTATATCCTTGACAATTGGGAGCGGTTGATATTGGGAGCGGTTGGTATTGGGAGAGGTTGATATTGGGAACGGTTGATATTGAGAGCGGTTGAGGTTAAAGCGGTTAAGGCTGAGAGCGATTTAGTCTGCAGCGGTTAAGATTGAGCATGCGCAAGTTTATAGGCCCAGAAACTTACCAGAACCAAACTATGACTTTTTTCATGTACTGTACAGCTGTGGCCCTAATTTTCTAAAAGGAAACATCTTCGAATTAGAATATTATCACAAAATACCAGTCATTTCGTGGCTTAGCCCGTGCCGGAGCCACCGAAGGACTTTCACCATATGTACTAGATCAGAAGGTGAGAGTTTTCAGCAGCCTCGACAGAAACCATCGAATCATTAAAATGGGTGAAGCAGCCAGAAACTGTCATATCACATCCACTGAACATCACTAACCAATTTCTAGAACCCTCTGTTACAGCAAGATATCAACCCACTGACGACCTTGTCATGCTCGCGCGAGGTGTTTTGTGTGCCGGTTCTCTACGAGTAGGTGAGGTCACAGCCCCGGCAATCCGATATTCTACATTGAGGCTGGGACATCTTGTGCACACAGTTAGCTTGACAATCACTGCAAGGACTGGGGTCAGCCTCCTGGCTGAAACTCCTTAGCATGAACGGGCATGCGATTACGAATACAGGTATTTACTATCATTAGTAGCGGTATTTTAAGTAGCTGTCACTTCGTGACAACCTGCAGATGATCACTTGGTCGCCAAAATCTGAGTAGTGGTGTAACCTTTTCAGGCATCAGGTGAAGCTTGCAGTACACCATTCAGGAAGCCTAGAGCAATCGTACAATATTAGATCAAACAATCATGGTTTTACGAAATTCCTTGTAGCCTGTATATTGTTTGCCAAGTTGGATCCCAGATTAGGCGACGTATAGATATTGCGGCAGCCAATTAGGCAGCCACCATCACGCTAGGCAGAAGGCAGCTACTGTGACTACAAATAGCTACACGTACTCGCCTAGTTAGAGAATGATTATCACACTTGTACTTCAATCCAGGGTTTTGCGAGGAATCAGGGTAGATGATATCAACCAACCAACCAACCGACTGTATTAATCTAGAACACAGACCCCACCAGATACATATTTCCGCATATCAAAGCCAACTTAAATGTTCAGCAACTCGATCCGAACAATTAATGATCCCAGTACCTAGGGCACTGTACCAAATGCCGTATGTGAAGCTAATGCAATCTGTGGCGCCGTCGATGTTGAGTATGATTTCGGTTAGATTGGTGGGTAGCAAATGCTGATAATTTTAATAAGACGATTTAATAATCGAGCCTGATGTGACGTACCATGATTTGCACCAGAGAGCTCCCATCTCTGGGAGAGGATATGAGAAGTGCCTAATGAAGGTGGCTTCAGTTCTATTAGCTCCGGCATCTGAGATCGCAATCAGGGTAACTGACACTACTTATATGCTCAGCAGAGCCAATCACAAGGCCGGATGCCTACAGTAGTTGGATTATTGTTAGGCCCAAAAACTTAACGAAAGTTACTGACCAAAGAGAAAACGAGTATGAGAGTGAACCAAATGGCTGTTTTTAGGAAAGGCAGCATGAGCGCTTTGTGTTACCGTGTGGGAAGAGGAGGTGCATTTCTGAATTTTTATTTCAACTGCAACTAGCAATACTTATAGCGGATGAGGTAAAATACCTGTTGCAGTAATTGTTGGGATACATACTAAGATACCAAAGGGTTTCACCAAAAGTTGAACACTCCGTGGTCCTCATTATTCGACTAGAATTGCTACTTCTGGAGAGAACCCCCTACCGAGTTCAAGTGATATCTTCCTTTACTGAAACTGAAGGGCGAATTACCCATCAAAAATCAATACCCTTAATTAAATACCAGACTTTCTCTCTTTATTTGATGCCAATGCCTGGGTAATTATATGTTGTAGCCTATCTGAGGGCGTCAACTCTATAGAAGAGCATTCGGCTAGACATAAAGGGACTGTAACGTACACATCGACAAGGCATAGTAAAGTAGATTCCACTTCTGTAGATTTGGGAGCGTACGTGAAACCTTGGAAATGACGATTCAGTCAGTATTTTTAGCATGCTTCAAGCAACCGGGGATAAGTCTGTGCCGTAGGACTAGATAGATCTGAGGTGCTAGATGGGCAGGGCTCGGAGGGCTGCACATTCAGCGAGATACTGGAGGCGAAGGCCGGTGGAGCTTCCGACCCGTTATAGCCAGTAACAAATAACTCACCGCCATCATATTGGCGCTGCATGTAAAGCTAAGTGTAGTTGACGATCGACTTGCTTTGGTTAATTGGCATCGAGATCAAGGGCTCCAGTTGTTCCTTGAACTCACTTCGTATCCAAGGCAACTAACTTGGTGCAATCCATTAGAATTGGACGATCTGCATGGGATAGAATTAATGAGGGCGACGGTTGAACGACTAGTTGGTTGGTAAAAGGTGTAATTTGAGGGGTCCTAACACACGCTATAGTGTCTATATATAACCATGGTTGTTGTTGACCAACTAGCGTCTTTGTTCAGGCATCAGTAATTACACAGATTTATTGAGTGGTAGAAATGGGCTCATGTCCTGAACAAATGGCAATGGAACCTTAAAGTTGGACGGAGCTATTTATTTACCCATGCGACATGCGCGAGAGCCACAATAGCCTTACTCAATTTGCATTGGCCTTCTACCAAAGATATATCCATAAATTTCAGCTATAATATTCTGCCTTGGGATGTCAAAGCTCATCAGCATATACCAGTCAGTCAGGAGATGCCAAAACGCAATGTTGGTCACGGCGCACCTTTTCTTATAGGCGCTGGCCTATCAAGGTTTGTTTAGCCGATTTTGAAAGACCCTGCTTGCTGAAATATCTGCTACAGCCAATCAGTGCGAGCATCGTCTCGTACAGTTGCAACATCAGAAGTTCACGCTCCCACAGTTACAAGCATTCGACAATGGACTATGTTAGATTCAAGCCCAATAGCCCAAAGATGGACCTCGCCGCTTCAAACAAGTTTATCGGAGACAGCCATAGAAACTCGCACCACTACCAGAGAAACGATCAACTGTGTGACCGGATATTCCAAGGTTGACGATGAGCTAGGGAGCAGCGGGATAATAATTCAAGATTCACAGAACTCTCGCTCCACATTGGCTTTCAACAGTTTATTTGACGCTGACATCGCGAAAGCAGCCACCGGTGGCCCGGATCTATTACAATATACAGGGCCGTCAGTTGGTTCTAATCATGATACCACAGGAATAATTGAATTTGGTCTTCATATTTTCTCAGGCCGAACCACTTCATACCAGCCGTCCCAAGCTACTTTGATTAACTCTTTATCTTCAATAAGAGACTTTCAAACCCTTCCTGACCAAACTTCAGTGGGTTACTTCGATGGAGATACTCCACGGGGGACTCTATATGCTGTGTCTCGGTCGAAGCCAACAGAAGTCGGTAATTTGGAAAATTCTGCGCAGTTGATTGAATTCTCTCGTCATTCTCAGCCTACACAAACAAGGCAAAACACGAGTCAATCCGACGACTTAGACTTTAGCACGTCCAGTACCGTCACCAAAAGCCAGCTTGTGGATGAAACCAACACGATGCCGACGATTGCCACGAAGACTGCAGTAGCAGAATTGACGATGGACAATTCTCGCGCATCTCGAGCCTTGTCGAGCCATGTTGTAGGAATAATATTGGGAAGCATTTCCGGTGCTACTTTGCTCTTTGCGATCATTTTATATTTACACCAATTTTGCTTTCGACAGATTGGCGGGTTCAGTAAAGGCAGAGGTTTACTTATTCAACCGAAATCAGACAATCTTGCTGTCACATTCCCGGATGCGCCGGAAACTTTGGAAATATCACGATTTTCTGCATATTCATGATTCAAAGCTGGCGCGAGTTATCAGTGAAATAGAACGGAGTTTATTGGCTTCTTAATTTGTCTCGTGAATAGCTGCAGGTAAACAAAGGCTAGACAACAAAATATGACACAAACTAACTTATAGAAAATATAATTAAGCTTGCGGTTGCAGTTATCAAAGTACAGAGCTTTTCGAAAGTTATATCAGAGCCTGAGTGATACAGTACGCTTTCAATTGATCCGATGTCCTACGAGAAAACGAAGTCTCTCCTGAGCGTGTTATGCTAGGAATTACATGTGGTTAGGCGAATGGATATATGATTAAATACATATTTGGTAGAGAACAGGACAGGACGAGGGAGTGGCACTGTGAGCTCACTTTACAATTTATGACATTGGGTGCTCAGAATGGTTATTCCGCCCAAGATGCTTCGAATAAGCTGATAATCGTAGCCTTGATATACTATTCTTCTGCCACATTTGCTTTGTTCTGCATGAAATGTCTCTTCCTACTCCAAATCGGTCTCCAAATTATCGGGAGCATTCCATGTCTCTCTTGTCCGCTATCCCACCAGCTGACCACGGAATACGGTCCCTCAAATGGCGCATGTGCCTTGTAGTTTTATTGAGTCCTCTGCCTGTGCACTCCATTTCCTCCACCTTCATATGTAACTGTAGAAGGCTTCGTACGAGACTCTAGTTCATATCACTTTCAATCTTCAGATTGAGAATATATATCCATGAGTCGTACCACATCTCTTTAAAATATTAATTCCTTTGCTACCTGTGCAAGCATAAACAAGTTCCTTTTAAGCCAGGATGGATGAGGCCGTTTGCGAACTTGATGATAATAAATCCTGTGGCACTGGGCACTGGGCACTTCCTGAAAATGCCCGCCTCATGGTCTCCTCCAGAAGCTGGATTTGGCGATATGCAGTGTCGGCGGTAGCTCCAGCTGGCTACCCTTTACGTGAATATAGCTCGCTTTATATAATTTTCAACATATTACATTGTTTCATCCCCTCAGAGGATGCTTTCATCAACAAATCCTGTCTGGTTGAACTTGAAGTGGTCTCCGGCGCCTCAGTATTATACAAATGTGATGGAGCTATAAGACAGGTAGGGCTGATACTTGATCCCCTCAAATTAGTTTTATATGATTAAACAAGAAATACCGAAGAACGATCGGCGGTGAGCACAACGTTCATTTCCTGCTGAACCGCTTGCAAAGTGACAAACGACCATCATATATTATCGCATTACCCAGGCGAAAGGTGAGGCATCATTCTTATTTCTCAGCCTTGATTCTTATTTGACATGGGACTTACCTGGATTCCCCAATCGCGATTACTTCCTTGTGGAGCCCGGTTTTCTTTCGACTTAGTATTTGTAATGACTCAGATATCTTATCTTCTATCCAAGAACCTATAAATGGCAGAGTAGTTTCTGTTCCTTCTCTTTGGCACTTTTCCTCCAAACCTTTCAATGGAACACCTTTAAGGAAGCCACCTTCTACAGCTGCGAGCAAGTCTCATATCATGGATCCTATTCAAACAAAGAATAAAGAGAATGAATACCATTCTATGTTTCTGCCTTCTGTCGTGCCAACTGAATTAGACTTAACATCCTGTGGTTTGCGAACTCCACGTGAATCGCCCGAAGAGACAAATGACGTCGGCAGTCCCGACGTTTCATTGGAAGCCAGCGACTCCTCGAAGCATAATTATCTAGAAACAACAATTCCAGGATGCCAGCCTAAGCGCGCTGTTTACCCTAATAAGGAACATGAATCAGCACTGCATCGCACTAGTGAAAAAAGCACGAAGAATTCCTGCAAGCGAAACAGAGTGCGAAAGCCCCCATTTGTTCCCCACAGCTTGAAATCCAGTCGATCTATTATCTCAGCCCCATTCAAAAATAGAGCCCTGTCCAAGGCTATGAAATTGGGTCCAATTACTTACCGCAGCGCTCTAAAGATAACTGAGCAGCTATGTAAAACACAGTTGGTCCTGCTCAGGAATCATCTCAAAGATCATAGTGATTTTTTTAGCGACGGAGAAGTGTTCTTACATGAGTTAGCGACTGCGCACCCAAAGTACAACCGCATGATTCGAACGCTACCCATGTTATTGCATCTTGTTCCTGGAGAACTCAAAGAAAAATTAATGATGGAAGAAAACGTGGAGTTGTTGAAGATCGGAGCTTATTTGGCAAATAAATGGATTTCAAGACCAACCTGATAAATAGCGAAAGTAGGGGGCCCAGTCTTTTCCCAATGTCGCCCAATACAAAAGATACATTGCAATCTCCATTTTCTTTTGTCCAAGGAAGAACCAAACAGATTTATATTATGTTTCCGACCTCATATATCCAATATGTAGGACAATGAAGCACACTATTCAAAGAATCTCTTCTAAGCTGCCAACGTTTTATAGCACAGTCAATGAAAAATTATACAGTGGTGTCGAAGCCATTCCACTCGTGAAAAATAGCTCTTTCTGTCCTAGTTATTAGCTCGAGATACTGCCATGAACGTAGGTCGGAATAAAGGTATTATAAGGAAGAGACATCACTATATGTTAACTAGATTGGTGGTCGGTCTACGCGCAGAGCTTATTAGAGTTACACTGTAAATCGACAAGACAAAGAAACGGTAAGCAAAGGTACGGTCAACAACAGACGGTCAACAACAGACGGTCAACAACAGACGTGTTGATTGATAAGTGATGCTTCAGTGTTCATGTTATTGAGGGGAGTTGATTATGTGTTGTGTTGCATGTTGTCTAAGATACAAGTAGGCTGGTGAACAGGTATATATGTATGCACGTGATCCCAGCCTCATTATTATCTCAGCAACCGGGATAACGTAATTCACTTTCCACTTCTTCTTCTGCCCGCCTGCGAGGAAACGCTGGAAGGATCGATGGAAAGGCCGAAAGGCCAGCCCATCTGCAATGATAAACTGGATACTGAGCACAGCTGCTGGGGCCGAGGAATTCGGCCGTTTCGTGCAAGAAACGTTCTTTTTCAAGGACATCTGCCCAAATCGGGCACAAACATGCGCCGCATAGCGCAACAGTCTTCACCTCTGCCCAGATGGGAGAGGCCGGCACCCTCTCCCATCCGCGGGTAGTCAGTCCACCCCCAGGAGCCCAGGCCAGGATAGTGCCTGGCGCTTCTTTAACCCTTTCTCAGCACGTAGTGCTCAATTTTGCTGCTTTCCAGCGTGTATTTAGTTGAGCTAGTTAGCTAGTTGTAGTAAATCCTCGCTTAGGTAGCACGTCCAGTTACCCCTCGGGAGGTAGTGGGTCACCTGCCAAGTGACCTGCCGGCGACGTTAAATAATCAATAATAATAATAATAATAATTTCAACACTCCCACTCGCTAATCTCCTTCGTCAGAAGGATATCAGCGATCCTTCATCACGGTTGCCAAGCCCCATTAAAACCTCCCAAAACCAGTGGTAAAAAGGAAGGAAAGGGTGCCTGCATGCCCGGTTTTACTTTTTCCTTTTCGGTATGAAGGCTCGTGTCTGACCGGGCTATTATTCAATGCCGAGGCCTTTTCGAAACCATTCAAATCTATCTCGTGCCAGGGGCTTCGTGAAGCCATCCGCTATCTGTTCTGACGTGGGGATATACTTGAGCTCCACTGTCTTGGCGTCTTGGACTTCTCCTTGCCACTTTCGCTGGATTTCCATATGCTTTGTACGCGAATGATATTGAGGGTTTGAGGCCAGCGCAATGGCTCCCTGGTTGTCGCCGCAGATGATCGTTGCGCGTTTTCCCTGGCCCATGTTCAGCTCGTGGAGGAGTCTTCTCAGCCAGATGGCTTCCTTGGTTGCTTGCGTCTGGCCCATGAATTCGGCCTCGCAGGTAGACAGGGCAACAATGTTCTGGCGCTTTGATTGCCAGCTGATTGCTCCAATTCCAACGTTGAAAAGATACCCTGCCGTCGACCGTCTTGTCTGGTGACACCCAGCCCAATGTGCATCCGTGAAGCCACGGAGCATGTGGAGCTGACCTTTATACGCAAGACTGAGGGATTTGGTGCCTTTGAGATATCGAAGGATTCGGCGGGCGAGCTTCATATGTTGTGGACCAGGATTTGCCAAGTGTCTGCTTGCCGCCGAGACAGCGTATGCGATATCGCCTCTAGTCCCAAGCATGATATACATCAGCGATCCGATCACACGCTGGTACTCGTTCTTTACATTCGACGGGCAGATGTATTCAGGACCGCTTTCTGGTAGAGGTGAAGTGTCTATAGGCGTGCTGACTTGTGCACAGTCTAACATTCCGAATTGTTGAAGGACTTTGTGCACGTAAGCCTTTTGGCTGAGATAGAGGATTCTGTTCTGCCGATCTCGCCGGATGGTCATGCCGAGGTAGTAGCTGCAGGGGCCAAGATCTGTCATATGAAAACGATTTCTGAGGCTCCTCTTGATATTCTTTATCTCTGCAATGCTTGGTTCGATGATCAAGAGGTCGTCCACGTATACTGCGATGTACATGCTGCTCCGAACAAAGATACTGAGATCGGCGTTGATGGGCTCGAAGCCAAGGTCCCGAAGGAAATTGGTAAGCGTCTGATACCAGATACGAGGTGCTTGCTTCAGACCGTAGAGTGCCTTTCGAAGCTTGCAGACCCTCGATGTGCCGTCTGTAGTGTGATGCGGCTGTTCAACATAGATCTCATGGTCTACCTCGCCGTATAAGAACGCTGTTTTGACATTCATTTGTTCGATCTCGAGATCCAGGGCTGCGGCAATTGCGAACAGGGCTTTGTAACTCGTTGGTTTGACCACGGAAGCAAATGTCTGACCATAATCGACACCTTCTTGGGTGAAACCTCTGACTACCCATCTGCA